GACTGGAAGTCTATGGGAACTATAGCATGCTAACTGTTCCTGTAGACTTCCATTCATTGCGCTGTTCTTTCAGACTTCCAGTCTTTGCGCTAACGCTAGTTAGCATTGGCTTGCGAAACGGTCTCTAACTTCCTTCATACTGGATGCAGAGACATAAAAATGGTATCCACAAGTTCATTTGACTCTGGGGAAGTAAATAGATTGTGATCATAATAGATTGTAATTGGTGTTCCTGACAGTGCTGAACACTCTAAATTACAATCCTGAAAATCATACCCAATAAATATCAGAGCAACTGCCAATTATTTCCTAATTTAATATGCGCAGACTAGTTTACCCTGCATGCATCATTTGGACCCCCACTTGGGATTTCACATTAACTCTCTTATCGCGTCTTTATATTCAATTCTATTTATAGGAATGAATCTATGTACATACATAAGGATGTGGATTTGTGAATAACGTATGTTTAATAATATCTGGCGCAGTCCATTTTCCTAATCAGGGCCACGGTATGTTTAATAATATCTGGCGCAGTCCATTTTCCTAATCAGGGCCACGGTATGTTTAATAATATCTGGCGCAGTCCATTTTCCTAATCAGGGCCACGGTATGTTTAATAATATCTGGCGCAGTCCATTTTCCTAATCAGGGCCACGGTATGTTTAATAATATCTGGCGCAGTCCATTTTCCTAATCAGGGCCACGGTATGTTTAATAATATCTGGCGCAGTCCATTTTCCTAATCAGGGCCACGGTATGTTTAATAATATCTGGCGCAGTCCATTTTCCTAATCAGAGCCACGGTATGTTTAATAATATCTGGCGCAGTCCATTTTCCTAATCAGGGCCACGGTATGTTTAATAATATCTGACGCAGTCCATTTTCCTAATCAGGGCCACGGTATGTTTAATAATATCTGGCGCAGTCCATTTTCCTAATCAGGGCCACGGTATGTTTAATAATATCTGGCGCAGTCCATTTTCCTAATCAGGGCCACGGTATGTTTAATAATATCTGGCGCAGTCCATTTTCCTAATCAGGGCCACGGTATGTTTAATCATATCTGGCGCAGTCCATTTTCCTAATCAGGGCCACGGTATGTTTAATAATATCTGACGCAGTCCATTTTCCTAATCAGGGCCACGGTATGTTTAATAATATATGGCGCAGTCCATTTTCCTAATCAGGGCCACGGTATGTTTAATAATATCTGCCGCAGTCCATTTTCCTAATCAGGGCCACGGTATGTTTAATAATATCTGGCGCAGTCCATTTTCCTAATCAGGGCCACGGTATGTTTAATAATATCTGCCGCAGTCCATTTTCCTAATCAGGGCCACGGTATGTTTAATAATATCTGGCGCAGTCCATTTTCCTAATCAGGGCCACGGTATGTTTAATAATATCTGACGCAGTCCATTTTCCTAATCAGGGCCACGGTATGTTTAATAATATCTGACGCAGTCCATTTTCCTAATCAGGGCCACGGTATGTTTAATAATATCTGACGCAGTCCATTTTCCTAATCAGGGCCAAGGTATGTTTAATAATATCTGACGCAGTCCATTTTCCTAATCAGGGCCACGGTTTAGTCAAAATCTAAAGAGTGTGATCAGCAAGATTTTTCCAAAGTAAAAAATATGCTGTTATCTGTTCTGAATATCTCATTGACAATAGAAGAGAATGAAGAGTTTTGAAAATGAGAAGAAATTAGACAATTTCAAATCCCAGGTGCAGACTCTGCTAATGTGGCTGGAAATGAATTAAAACATTTCTCATGAAAAACCAATCTGAATGATGTGGATGAGCATAATGGGATTGTATTTGCTATTCTCAAGCATCATAGAATATTGTTTATATTTTTATAGCCAATTACACAAGCCTTTCTATATGTTGAAGATATGCCACTTTCTTTCTGGGCATTATGGGAAGTTCAATAGCAATACTTTATTTACTATCCTTAAAGTCCAAGCTCCGACACCTCTTCAGTTTTCCCCCACACATCCGACACGCAATTTATACCGGTGTAATTAATAGTCATCTGTAGCACACGCAAACGTAAAATGTTGGCAGGTCGGTCCACAAGATTGCCCGTGAGAATCGGATAGAAAGGCATCCGACACAGGTTCAGACTGCTCCGAAACTCTAATTCACAAATAAGCAACGGTTCCTTATAGTCATTCTGCATCTCCACAATGTAAACCCACCTTTACTCTCTGTGCTACTACATAGAAATTATTAGTTATACAAGTCAAAATCGTTTCCTTTTAAGTTTCATTAGTGTATAGGAATATGCTGAACCTATAAGGTAACACAATTAAACCTGGAAATGATGCCTCATAATGATAAATAAGAAACAACAAAAGTGAACAGTAGCCTACTTAATGTTGCAACAATACCTTCTTTGTGTAACGGAGCACAATAAGTTCCAAATGAACACTATGATTTTGATTGAAATGATTAAGACCGGGGATGACAACAGATACTAATTTAAAAATCTAGTCAGCTCCTTTGAATTAAGCACAATGGACAACACTACTTATGTTATCCCTGGATAATTGGTATAATACGCCCAACTGGATCATAAGTGCTCTGATATGATACGTAAGAGAAACAATGTAGTATCTAATGGGTGGAAATTATATTCATGATCCACTCAGCACTGTCTTTATGCTGTTGGAGCTAATCATTTTGAAGAACTATTGTCAGTGCCTGTCATGAGAGGATTTAGGCTGGTCAAATAATGCTTCAAGTAAACAGAGAGCTAAATTCAATTTCCATTACAATGACAGTCTGTTTGTTTAACAATATCGTACTTTAACTTTATCAGACATGTGCAACTGTTGAACATAAAGAGTCTCATAATCTGTCTCTCTGCTTGTGTACATTGCTATAATCTCCCATCATGCAATGCAATAGTATCACCCCAGTAAGTAACCCATTCATAGACGCTAACTGCTTTAGCGCCTATTGACGATAGTATCTTCTGGCCGGGGGAGTTTTGTTAGGATCGTTCTGACTGTTAAAATGCATCACTTGCAGTACAGTTTTGGAAACATAAGGAACGTATCTTTCATATCAGCGAGAAATAATAATAATTTAAAAAACGTAAAATTACTACACACCTTTATTGGGTTAGTGTTCCTACACGGCCATATCTCCATGTTACATCACTTGTTTACGGAAGACAGGTGCAAGACATAGACGGCCACCTGTGCTAATTAGCTATCTAGTGTAGCGTGATCCGAACACCTGTGTGTCAGAGTAACTGGGGACGAAGTGTAGTTCAACTGGAGGCACACACAGCTTGTGGATCTGTGCTAAACTGCTGCAGTAAGTGTAGCTTTTTTATTTGAAAGATTATTTCTTGCTGGTGTGTAGTAAAATTTTTTATTTTAATGAATGTTATGATACAGTACATTCTGAAAGTATTAAGACCCCTTGACTTTTTCTAAATTTTGTTACATTACAGCCTTATTCTCAAATTGATTAAATTAGTTTTTTCCCCTTATCAATCTACACACAATACCCCATAATGACAAAGCAAAAACAGGTTTTTAGAAATTTTTTGCAAATGTATATAAAAAAAGAAAACGGAAATATCACATTTACATAAGTATTCAGACCCTTTACTCAGTACTTTGTTGAAGCACCTTTGGCAGCGATTACAGCCTTGAGTCTTCTTGGGTATGACTCTACAAGCTTGGCACACCTGTATTTGGGGAGTTTCTCCCATTCTTCTCTGCATATCCTCTCCAGCTCTGTCAGGTTGGATGGGGAGCGTTGCTGCACAGCTATTTTCAGGTCTCTCCAGGGATGTTAGATCGGGTTCAAGTCTGGGCTCTGGCTGGGTCACTCAAGGACATTCAGAGACTTGTCCCGAAGCCACTCCTGCGTTGTCTTGGCTGTGTGCTTAGGGTCGTTGTCCTGTTGGAAGGTGAATCTTCGCCCCAGTCTGAGGCCCTGATCGCTCTGGAACAGGTTTTCATCAATGATCTCTCTGTACTTTGCTCCGTTCATCTTTCCCTCGATCCTGACTACTCCCAGTCCCTGCCGCTGAAAAACATCCCCACAGCATGATGCTGCCACCACCATGCTTCACCGTAGGGATGGTGGCAGGTTTCCTCCGGACGTGACGCTTGGCATTCAGACCAAAGAGTTCAATCTTGGTTTCATCAGACCAGATAATCTTGTTTCTCATGGTCTGAGAGTCTTTAGGTGCCTTTTGGCAAACTCCAAGCGGGCTGTCATGTGCCTTTTACTGAGGAGTGGCTTCCATCTGGCCGCTCTACCATAAAGACCTGGTTGGTGACGTGCCACAGAGATGGTTGTCCTTCTGGAAGGTTCTCCCATCTCCACAGAGGAACTCTGAGAGTGACCATCAGGTTCTTGGTCACCTCCCTGACCAAGGCCCTCCCCTGATTGCTCAGTTTGGCCAGGCAGCCAGCTCTAGGAAGAGTCTTGGTGGTTCCAAACTTCTTACATTTAAGAATGATTGAGGCCACTGTGTGCTCTTGGGGACCTTCAATGCGGCAGACATTTTTTGGTACCCTTCCCCAGATCTTTGCCTCGATACAATCCTGTCTCGGAACTCTACGGACAATTCCTTTGACCTCATGGCTTAGTTTTTGCTCTGCACTGTCAACTGTGGGACCTTATATAGACAGGTGTGTGCATTTCCAAATCATGTCCAATCAATTGAATTTACCACAGGTGGACTCCAATCAAGTTGTAGAAACATCTCAAGGATGATCAATTGAAGCAGGATGCACCTGAGTTCAATTTCGAGTGTCATAGCAAAGGGTCTGAATACTTATGTAGATAAGGTATTTCTGTTTTTTATCTTTTATAAATTTGCTACATTTTCTAAAAACCTGTTTTTGCTTTGTCATTATGGGGTATTGTGCTGTCCAGATTATTTTGTCTTCTGATAAGCATCCCCTAATTTGGTCTCTCCATTTTTCTTTCTGCATGTTGTCTTTCCAGATACACTAAAATGAAAACCGCCACAAATATCTACATCTTCAACCTGGCCTTAGCTGATGCACTAGCCACCAGTACACTGCCCTTCCAGAGTGTCAACTTCCTGATGGGGACCTGGCCGTTTGGAGACGTTCTGTGCAAGATAGTGATATCCATCGACTACTACAACATGTTCACCAGTATCTTCACCTTGACCACCATGAGTATTGACCGTTACATTGCAGTGTGCCACCCCGTCAAGGCCTTAGACTTCCGCACGCCCCGTAACGCCAAGATTGTCAACGTGTGCAACTGGATCCTGTCCTCTGCCATCGGTCTGCCTGTCATGTTCACTGCCTTAACTACTGTAACCGATAATGGCAAGTACGACAGTACGTTTCACCATGCTGTTTTTCTTTGATCCTCAATTATAGGCAGCCTATCTGTAATGTCAGTGAGTACGCCACAGTAGCGAGAGAGTAACAATTATGTTTGACAGTTCATTTTATTTCTGTGAAGCGAATGGAATTTGCCAAATGAAGCACTTTGCTGTTCTACGCATGGTCTGGGTCTGAGTCATAGAGAGAAATAGTGACATGTTAGCTATGAAGCATTTTTTATTATCATATAATAAGAACACTTTCAGATCATTTATTTAGGTTAACATATGACATATAAACTTTTACGTAATGGTGGATTTAACACAGCAAATCAGAGGCTATATTAAATAAAGTTTTGCAAGCGTTCATCCCTAATTGGCCTTAATGTAGGCTTCCAACTCTATTCATCAATATAATGCTTTAAAGCTGCAATATGTGTCAAGGGGTGCTGAAGGTGGGTGTGGTGTATGAATCAAGCGCAGGACGCAGGAGCTCAGACCAAAAGACTTTAGTGCAATATTCACGTAGAAAATAAGCACAATAAGCCCGAAGGCGAAATAACGGCGCACACAGGCGTCAAACAAACGGCGCACTAACATGTGCGAAAAACCTCTCCAAAACACTGGAGGGAAGTACGTAGCTCCAACACGAAACAGAAGAGCAATCACACACAAAGACAAACACACACAACGAGAACTAAATAGGACACTAACGAGGACTAACAAGACACAGGTGTACAACATCAAGACAAAACCAAACGAACATGAAACATAGATCGGTGGCAGCTAGTACTCCGGGGACGACGACCGCCGAAGCCTGCCCGAACCAGGAGGAGGAGCAGCCTCGGCCGAAACCGTGACAATATGTCCCAACCAAATTCACATAGTGAATGTGAGTTATAGATCTGTCATTCTCATTGAAAGGAAGTCTAAGAAGCGGTAGATCTGTTCTATGTGTGCTATTTCTATGCTTCCCGGTCTTAAGTTTAGTTTTTGCGTCTTTTACTTTTGATTTATACACCAGTTTCAAACAGCTGAAAATACAATATTTTGGGTTATGGGAAAGTATATTTCACAGCGGTTTAGATGGTACAATGATTCTCTACACCAGGGGTACTCAGGTACTATTTGAGTAGGTCCGTTCACATACATTTCCGAGGTGGCAAAGGTCCGGATGGATAATGTAATTTATCGGCGTAGTAACAAACCCCCACCCATGCAACCCATGTGACCCCAAACTGTTCACACCACTCTTGTTGGCGGAGAGAAAATGTTGCAGTTTTAAAGCAAATTTCCCACAATTCTACACATTATGCATGGAAAGAGATTTTTTTTTGCTGTTTTAAAGCTAATTTCCTGCAATTATATGCATTCTTCCATGTCTTATGTGTGTTTATATGATACCAGGGGTCAAAGCCCAAAACATGTCCGTATTGACCCCGTTCTGGGTCCAGATCCGGTCCGCCAGTTGAGTATGGAGGCTCTATACTATACCTGCTTGTTTTGTCACATAAACTGAAATTAGGCGAACTATTAGAATGTTAGCAACCAGGAAATGGCTGAGCGATTTCTACATAGTGCATCTTTAAAGATGACTAATATGACCATAGACTAGCAGCTTCCACCATGTAGTCTTTAAAGATGACTAATATGACCATAGACTAGCAGCTTCCACCATGTAGTCTTTAAAGATGACTAATATGACCATAGACTAGCAGCTTCCACCATGTAGTCTTTAAAGATGACTAATATGACCATAGACTAGCAGCTTCCACCATGTAGTCTTTAAAGATGACTAATATGACCATAGACTAGCAGCTTCCACCATGTAGTCTGAAACTGAATCATTTCAGTAGTAATAGTGGGATAGAAACTTGTCAGCAAAATTAGAGATGCATGACTCCTGAATTAGGTTTTCAAAATGCCTGTAAAAACCGTCTTAGCTCTTGTTATTGGTTAGAGGAGAATAGGTTTGCAGTCTCATGAAGGAACTCTATCTGATGTCAGCTTGGGGAATACAAGCAGTCAGCACAAGCTTGTTTAACAAATGAGAACATAGCTGACTTTTATGGCTAACATTATGAGCAATGCTTCGGGGCCTATGTAGCTTTATCTACCTGTGAAAAAGACTGCTGTGAAGCTATTGGTTTTCTCATGTGCTACGGTCCTTCAACTGTGTCTTGTACTCAATCTCCACATGTTCAGGAATCATCGACTGCACTTTGATCTTCCCCCACCCATCCTGGTACTGGGAGAATCTTCTGAAGATCTGTGTCTTCATCTTTGCCTTCATCATCCCCGTCCTCATCATCACCGTGTGCTACGGGCTAATGATCTTGCGCCTGAAGAGCGTGCGCATGTTGTCCGGCTCCAAGGAGAGGGACCGCAACCTGCGCCGCATCACCCGCATGGTCCTGGTGGTGGTGGCCATCTTCATCATCTGCTGGACGCCCATCCACATCTATGTCATCATCAAAGCCCTGATCAACATCCCCAACTCCCTGCTGCAATCTGTCACCTGGCACTTCTGCATCGCGCTGGGCTACACCAACAGCTGCCTGAACCCCGTCCTCTATGCCTTCCTGGACGAGAACTTCAAGCGCTGCTTCCGCGAGTTCTGCATCCCCCTGAGTCCCTCGGCGCTGGAGCTGCAGAATTCTTCTCGTACCCGCCACCACCAGCAGCACCAGCGCCAGCAGCACTCCAGTGCCAATATGGTGGAGAGGTCCAATCAACAGGTATGACTAGGTATGGAGATGTTGTCGTTGGACTCTCGCTACCAGCCCAACGATGACATGAGCTCGGAAGTCACCCAGGTAACCACAGTGCTCTGACACAAGGCTCTGACACATAATGCACCAAGATGCTGAAGTGCAACGTGGCACGAGCATCGATCGCACCGTCGCCTCTTTCTGGAGAGTCTGACAAGTATTTGAATGCAGAATGACACTTCGTATAAGGCTTTCTGTCAGCATTATTAAAATGTTGAACTTTGGGCAGAACACTGAAATGAAGCAACATCAACTATTATGTACACAGTACCTTTGCAGACTGGTATACTGAACATACTGTAATAGGATAATGTTCTGTGGTCAACAACATTGACATTGAGTAACTCTTCATTGAGAGCACTTAATTCAAGACACTAATTCAAGAAGATTGTTATTTAAGGGTCAACCGGCGATTCAAAAAACAACAAAGCTGCCACCCCACCACTTGTTTTGGTAAACAGCTGAGGGATGGGGCTGGAGGAATGTAACCACTGTCAAATTGATAGACAGAGCTATGGATGCAAGAACTGACCATCCATGAGATCAAAATGATCAGTTTGTTTGTTTACAATTACATTATTGTTTGCTTCCATAGTCAATGGCATTATATTATTAATTTAAAAGTCAGAAAATGGATGTAGCCTACCTATCAGCTTCAAATCTATGTATAGCAGCTTTTATAAACTGTATGTTCTGTGCTAAATTGTTATGTATTATATGTGTATATGATGTGCAAGTGGTTTGGGAACTATCAAATGAATGAATTAATGAATTACATTTTATTTTTGTGTCAAATCGCCAGTTGACAACCCATCCCTTACTGGATTTATTGACGGATAGACAAACATTACAATGATTCACAGTGATAATTCAGTGATAATTATTCCGGTGTTCTGTGCAGTGCGCACCGCATAAAGAATGAAAAATAGATCAATACATAATAGTAAAAAAGGTTATCCAAGCAATAATAATAACCCTAGAGCAGTAAAAATAATACTAATTAATTAAAAAATAAAGAAATACAGCTAAATTAAACAGAAGACGTTTAAACCTGGTCTGGCACAAAGAGAAGATTCAAATCAAATCAAATTGTATTTGTCACATGCGCTGAATACAACAGGTGTAGACCTTACCGTGAAATGCTTACTTACAAGCCCTTCTAGTGTGAGAGATATAGGCCTATCTATATACATACGTGCACTTTGATATCTGGAGCTAAATATAGGTCACCCTTTTGCTTTTATTCCAGGCTTTATAAAAAAAATATCTGTAAACAGAAATACACAATGGACAAAAAACGATTTCAGTTTCTCTTCATCGCTCAGCCACATAATGCCAGGCTATATCCGGTGGGATTTCTGGAAGCGTATATCGTGGTAGAAAGGGCAATAGAGGATAAAATGAGTTTCATTCTCTATCTCTTCGAGGTCACTATAGTTACATAGTCTTTCCTCTTCCATTTCACCACAATACCGACCTGTTTCAATACGCAGAGGCAATATCCCTGATCTTACATGTGCACATAGCGATCTCTTGCTTTTAGGTAGGTTGAACATAATATATATCTCACACACAAATTCACCCTTAATCAAACAAAAGGTTCTCAATTTGGGTTTATGATTAATCTCCACCCATTTATTTTCATATTGCATCATCAGTTGTTTTTTAATAGCATCTATGTCTCCCTAAATTTGGTTTTCGTACAAATGTTCACAGACAGTACACAATGGTGTCAAGTCAAGTTACCAATCGTTTTTCCACCATTCATTTTTCCCATAGTGGATTTTAGAAACACTTAGAATAAGGTCTGTGTTTCGTGTAGGCTTACCCTGGTGTGACGTTTTGATAACCGTGTAAATCTCTAGGACAAGGTTACTTTTATCAATATATTTGCCTGTATTTACCCCCCAAAAGTGAAATGTAATTAGCTGCTAATGTGGCTATCATAAAGAACTACAAATGCCATGATGATCTGGACGAGCATGCCGAATTGAGGCAAAGGTAACAATCTCTGGATTAACTATCCGATGTTAGCTACATTTTGTAATGAATAAATTGGCTACATTTCTTAAAATGTAGAATTCTGTGAACTGTCTTGTGCAAGTTTTAAAATTGACACAATACCTGTTAGCAAACGTGTCAGCTATAGATGAAATGCAGCAGCTTGCAGGGATTTGTAGTTTTGCATGATGTCTACTGAGAGTAAACAGATTCGAATATAAGTCACCTTGTCCGAGAGAGATTTACATTACATTTTAGTCATTTAGCAGACACTCTTATCCAGAGCGACTTACAGTTAGTGAGTGCATACATTTTCATACTGGCCCCCCGTGGGAATCAAACACACAACCCCAGCGTTGCAAACACCATGCTCTACCAACTGAGCTACACGGGACTATCAAAACATCACGCCAGGGTAAGCCTACATGAAACACATCCCTTATTTTAAATGTTTCTAAAATCCCCTATGGGAAAAATGAATGGTGGAGAAACGATTGGAACCATTTCCCTGTTTGACCGCTAGGATTTATGGGTATTATGACACCTCCACTGTGGAGCTCTATTACTAAGGGTGTCCCGCAGGGGTCAATTTTGGAACCTGTCCTCTTTACTATTTATATAAATAATGTTGGTGTATCTGCAAAAACCTGTATCATTCATCAGTGTGCAGATGACACTGTTATTTACATTGACATTTTAGTCATTTTGCAGACGCTCTTATCCAGAGCCACTTACAATTAGTGCATTCATCTTAAGATAGCTAGGTGGGACAACCACATACTGTATCACAGTCATAGTAAGTACACTTTTCCTCATTAAAGTAGACATAAGCAAAGTCAGAGCTAGTAAGGGGGGAATAAATGTTAAGTGCGAGTGTTAGTTCACTAAAAGCATTTTCTGTTTTGTACGCTATTGCCCCTACTGCTGACCAGGCTATGTTAGAGCTGCAATCTGATTTTGTTGCTTAGCAGAAAGCCCTGGTTGATTTCAAATTGGTACTTAATGTGGGAAAAACTAAATGTATGTCATTTTCTAATTCTCATAGAAATATTTCAGATGGTTTACACATTTATGCATTGGATGGTTCTCTCGTCGAGCAGGTTCCCACCTATAAATATCTGGGCTTTTGGATTGACAAAAATGTTATGTTTAAAAAACATATGGCTGAGCTAGTTAAGAAGCTGAGATTGAAAATAGGCTTCTGTTATAGAAGTCGATCATGCCTCTCCCTAAACAGCAGGAAGCAGATTGTACAGGCAACCTTCCTGCCAGCTTTTGATTATGGTAACACAATTAATCAGAATGCAGCAGGCTCTAATTAAAACCCTTGGATGCAGCGCACCATAGTGTGCTTCCCTTTATCACAGGAGACAGGTTTAATACTCATCACTGCATGCTTTATCAGAAGGTCGGCTGGACCTCTATAAACTCCTTTAGATCACTTCATTTCTCCCTTTTTGTTTAGAAAGCTCTGCTGCACAAACTTCCAACATACCTAACTTCTCTGTTAAAGTAGAAAAATACGAGGCACCAAACCCGCTCACAGGGTTAACTCTTGAGGTCCCTCGTGTCTCTACCAACCTAGATAAATCAGCCTTTCATTTTAACACCCCTCATGTTTGGAATAATTTACAATTCACATTACATCTTGAATCCCTGGTGCCAGCAGGGCAGTTTAGAACGCTGATGTGGAATACATTCACTGAGGTTTGCGAGTGTTTTGGTTGATTGTAATAATGTATTTGTGTTGTTGAAATGTAGTGTATCTGTTGTATCTTGTAGTTTCATTTTTTGCTGTTTAATTGAATTATCATGTTGATTTGTGAAGTGTTTGTTCTCAGGGCATTATTGAGAATGAGACCCGGGCCTCAATTAGGATCCCCTGAATAACTAAAAGTTAAATAAAAATAAATAAATACATATTGCCTTTACTGTAGCAGTGCAGAATATCACAACTGAAAAGGGATTTTTTTTTTATGATTACATTTAGTTATTTCCAGATATTGTATTCAATACTGTTTGTCATTTTTAACTTGGCAGATGATTTGCCCACCTCCAAAATATGCCATCAACATGATAATGCTGCTGATACATTTCGGTGCTTGCAGGTTTACAGAGACAAAGTCCTAACCATTGGATTGTGGCAGACCTGGGTGCAAATGCATGCTTAATTAAGTATTTGTATTTTAAATACTTATTTTCTGTGTATTTGAGTATTTTTAAATAATGTGACTGAGTCAACTACTTCTATTTGAAGTAGTAGAAAGTACTTATATTTTCAAAGGAAAAATATCAAAATATTTACTTCGAAATGAATGTGAAAGTAATTGAAATACCTTAAATAGTATTTCAACCCAGGTCTGGGGTGTGGCTGTTCATTCCAAACTAGATGTACTTGCTTGATATATTTCTATATTATATACATTTTTCAGGTCAACCCATTCAATTATTTTAAAAAGCATGTGTAGATAGGGATGCCACCAGGCTTTGTCAGATGTATGTTATGGTCTTATTATGCCTGTGTCTCTTTTCAGGGACATGACAATATACAATAGTCTATCGTAACTTTTTATTGTAAAAGTGAGATTTTTCTGTATTAACAATTTTGCAATTACAAGTGCTTTGACAAAATCCCTGAATTGTCTTAAAACGGTGGCTGCATGTAATGTTACCATGGAGAACATTGTATGGTGTGTACTTTCTCAATTATTGTTGTAAATTTGAAACTGAATATGTGATTTTGACTCAAAATATCTAAGATGTACAGTATATCAAATTACTCATATTTTCATGACAAAATTATAAATATGCATGTTAATCAGCAAATGTTGTTTTTCTAAATATACTTACAGTGAAGGAAAAAAGTATTTGATCCCATTTACATTTACATCATTTAGCAGACGCTCTTATCCAGAGCGACTTACAAATTGGTGCATTCAACTTATAATAGCCAGTGGGGCAACCACTTTTTT